CAGATTAGCGACTGGGTCTAACCCCCATAGAAAAATCGTCCACAAGATACAGTCAGGACTATTCAATCGCCTTTCTTTTACAGTTACCAATTTGCGGAGAATAGCTGGTTAGAAATTTAACGTACAACTTTGCAGAGTAAAGAGGACGGAGAAATTACAGGTAAACATACTTCTATTTGGAAAAGTTCCTCATATTAGAGTTCCATGCCACTCCGTGAATATTGCTTGGATAGTAATTATAGACCTTCAATTAATTATCCCTACTTTGCTGTATGTGTGAAAACCGTCTCTTTAATGAAGCCATCGGTTGGAAAACTACGAATCAGTCCAGTTCATGGAGTTTTTAGGTACACCAAGATTAATCTACATACTTAAATATATATATAAAAATCCCACAACGTTGAAGCTGGTAGTTTGCAAGAAAGAACGGCAAGTTTGATATGCACCTAAAACTTTCCGAGTTCCCAAACAATTTGATTATCGGCTCGTCGCAAAGCTTTGTCTCAATAGTTTGAACATCATAAACGATTACGTTCCGACGGCAGAACTACCTTCATGTGGGTATTCGTGCTGGGGGGGGGGTGGGGGGGTGGGGGGGGTCACTCTTACAGAGAAAGCCCTCATCACCCCTAAAAGAAACTGGGCGTCTAATTGGTGTGACAGGTGCCAGTAGGGGGTAAATTTTTCCTTTTCCTTAACGCGGACCTTTTAAGTGTCGCCGAGATAACTCCAAAGTCAGGAAAGTTATTCCAAAATATAGGTAACCTTTATATCCGACCACGACATCGTAGTTCTACGTAATCAGCCTTCTCAGTGAATCAGCTGTTCACATTAACGATGCACAACAATATAATAACAACGCACAACGATCTAACAACAACATGTCGTCTCATACTGATACACGAAGACTGGTTTTTGGTGCGGATCTGCTTGGACTTCGATATTGCTGTAACACTCATTCGAACTTTTTTGCGCCTTCGCCCTGTCCTTCGCCCCAAACCAGTGAAACGGGCTTCCGTTAGGTAAATTTAAGGTAAAGATGATAATGCGTTTTTCGCTATCGTCAATTGAATGTTTCACTCTAGATAGAGGTCATAAAGCAAAAATGTCGAAACAACAGCGTGAACATCTGCGTCCACAATGTCGGTGATGCTTGCTCAGTTCTCCTTTGTAGAATAAAGCTCTCAGCCTTTTAGCCCAACTCATACTCACGGCAGATCGATTGCTTACGTACATAAGGGATCGCTGTCGATTGGAATCAGTGGAGCTAATAAAAGTGTATTATTTACTTGATTTTATTGGTTGGTAAGTTTTTGCTTCTTTTCAACACTGAATTTTTGTATGAGCTCGACCTTTGTATGAACCTTGAGAGCGAACTATTTTCAACAAACCTGCGCATAAATAAAAGGTTTAATTTTATAACAATAATAACTTTATAATTTGAAATATTAGTATCCTCTGAAAGTGAAGAACAGTCAAAGGCCAATTACTACACGCTCAATCAAACGTCGGGATTTGAAACCCCATAATCGAATAGAAGCAAAATAGACCACCTAATATAAACTTGTATGTTCGAAAGCATCGCTTTGACACGTTTTGTAACTTAGCTGATTTGGTTTGTATTCTGTTACGTCAAATCTACGATAGCATACGAGCTGTAGTTTTAAATAGATATAATATTTAGACTACGGTACCAGTTGTAATAGGTGATCATTTTTCGCAAATATCAAGTACCCATGTATATGTCGAAACATACAGCGTTTCGGCACTCAACATGCATTCAACTTTTTCCGCACACTTATTTCCGCTTGAACCGCAGATTATTCTGATGAGAACTTGTACACACTATGGCTCGTTAGGTTTGAACGTTTGATGATTGGTGGTGAAGGAAATTCAGATTTTAGACGAAGCCTGATCGGCATCGAACCGAATTTTAAAAATTTAAGCAACGTATGACACTTGAGGCAGCACTACACGCAAAAAAAAACACTGTGTAGTTTTTCTTGTTTTATTCGAAGAACAGAATTTTAATACGCGATCCGTACAATGCATTCAAAGACGGATTCAAATGAACGACTAAGGATTCCCTCATCGTGCACAGATGTCTAACACAAGTCACCAAGCGATTTTTCATAAAAACGTTGGTCGTCCACGAGTGAGTTTATAGGCGGACGCTTTGACAAATTGTACCATCGTGTTTCGCATTTTGTGAGAAACGTAAAGAGTTTCGTCACGAAGAGAACAGACGTCAGGTGGTTGAACCTATTCGTTGACCGTTTGCAAGACGCTGCATGGAGACAAAGAAGATGAGCTCTTTCAATTGTCTATCATCTACCCATTTGCCTGTTTTCTATCAACTGGACCAACTCGTATTTGATTCGCGTTTTCTTTTTCTTAGCTAAAAACCACTTGAGGTTTGACAACCTCTTTCTGACGACCCCGCAAGTTTCTTTCCTGCGCCGTCGTATTCTACCCATTTTGTAAAGGTAGTTTTCTATTTTGTAATAAAAAAAAAAAACAAGTTTCGTTCTAAAACGTAAAAACTGGATTATCATACTAATTTCGCATGCCGCCTTAGCCATCACCGGGCCGACACGCATTGGTTAAACTTACACATCTCAACAGCTCAAAGGGTACACAAATAGTTTTTGAAGCCATTCACAACTAGTTAGTAATTATTGGGAAAAAAATTATTACTCAGAGGATGGGTTCACACTGGTTTCGTATCGTGACGAATTTACTGTTTTGTTTAGTGAACGATGAAGACTCGTCTGGATTCGAAGGTACTCAAGCTCAATACCTGATTCAATAATAACAACGACCATAACCTAACTGGTTACACTATAGGATTTTAATTTTTTTTTTTTTTTTTTTTTTTTAGTTGCCGATTTTAGTTATTGCATTATATTTTTAATGACCAGGTAGGTTTTTATTAGAATGCCACGTATCCAAATTTTGGCTCAGCGGAAGCCGAACATCTAAATATTTAATTTGTTTCGTTTATCAAGTTTCTACTAGAAACAAATATTCATAGCCAAACGTTTGAAAGTTACGTTTGATATCGTGTGACTAACAAAAAATGTTGATCCATATATTGCTACGAATTTATATAACTCTTTATTTGCAAATCCTCCGCTGGGTAAGGAGGAGCATTTGGAAAAAGGAAATCGAGTATACCTTAGGGGCAAATATACACCACCCACCTAACCGAGTTATCTTGAGAGCCTTTATTTAACATTGTAGAGGCTGTAGGCAAAACGGCGGTCGCGCTTATGGCTCGGTACGACAAAAACTCGTCATCCTAATGGTAAATGGCGACACGCCAGCAACTTTATGAAACAACATTGAATATTTTCGGCGCCAGGCAAAAGCGTTATCTGCTGTTTAGCATTCCGGCATTTTCTAACCTAATAACACCCACCGGACTGCAATGCCCTGCGCCGGACACGCACGCTACATGACTAGTAATTTTGGTGCGTACTCTATGGACTACGGGTCATAAAAAGGCCGATCCATATCGAATGAAAGGATATGAAACTATAGAACGAGTTAGATCCTTAAAAACACGCATAGCGAGATTGCGGCGAAGAATAAGCTATATATAGAAATATTAACCGATATACTGGTGATCGATTAGCGTTGTATATGGATCTATCATCATATATATCCACATATACACAGAATGGGGCATTCAAATAAGCATGAATTTTAGCGGGCTGTTTGTCGTAGCGGAAGTGAGTCTAACGGCCATTCTGGAACAAGGAAAAAGCCAAACGAAGAAATAAACCTATTGTAGCGCGACATAATGCGTGGTTTTCGAAATTTGACAAAAGATCAGCTAAAATCCAACATCTTCGCTTTAGGGATACCTCCACATGAATTAAAAACTTTCTATTTTGTTCGAAATAAGCGGTCTACGTCATCGTAAGTCTCAAGGCGACTTCCAAAAGATTCGAGGGGTGTATGCATAATGCGAATCAAAACACTTTTAGTAGGATTTAAACACAAGGGCCCGAAAACATATTATAATAGCTAAAAAAATCTTTTTTAACTCTGGATTTTTCATGCAGAGTGGAGAGTTCCGTTCTGCAACGAAGAATAGTTCTAACTAGATCATCAAACGTTTAGTTTTTTAGACTGTTTACACCTTCTTGCACCTTTCGTATTTTCCCCCTTTTAAAATTTCGAATCCTTTTAATTTTGGGCTGCTATCACCCGAAAGTCTAATTCCGTCGAAATTTTTACCGTAGGTACCGTATTTAAGGGACATATGGCCAAATGTACATCTACGAATATCGGTTAATTCACGGTTGCTTTTTAGAAGTTATTTGCGGATTAAAGAGGGATTATGTCAAAAATTCATACACGCATTTCTGCAGTGACTATATATAGATAATCATGAACGTCAAAAATTGAAGTACTAGCACATGCAAACTATGTCGTTACAACATCTGTTGTTGTTTAAATAAAACCCAAAAGACAGCTCATAACAAAAAAAATCTGTTGATTTACCTGTTGTTTCCGGTGCATATATATATTTATATACACAGGGAGAGAGAGAGAGAGAGGGAGAGAGGGGGGAGAGAGAGAGAGGGAGAGAGAGAGAGGGAGAGAGAGAGAGAATCTTATGTAATTCGTAGGGTTTATCATCATTAATGGACCAGATTGCGGACCAATTACAGAGCTAAAAAAATGTGTAGAAGCCTTAACAGTGTGTCTATTAGACAACAATGCCAGGTTAAAGCACATGTTCTAAAATCCCAAATTGTTTGAACTTTTTTTTAACGAATGAATGAATTCTTGAACGAATGAAATTAATAATTTTTTGCCATCAAACGTCTCCTTCAAGAATCCTACTTAATAGCTACCCAACATCGATTTCGGAGTCATTAACATCGTTTATTACTAACAGATTCTCTAAATGTTCCGCCCAATCTTTTACCTGGTAACACAAGGTATACATTAAAACTTGATGACACATTACGTTTTATTACCGAAGTAAATGGCAATCAAAATCAAAGGCGGTCGCGGCCTTAATTGCTGCTTTGCCTGTCATATGCTATAGGCAGTAAGTAACGGATCGAGTTGGTGCGAGATGTACAGTCACTGTCACCAAGCATATGAGGAAGTCGCTGCCGCCTCGTGAAAGGCCATCCACCTCAAGAGATGCTTTGTCTTTATTTTCGGCAAACGGCTGTGAAGAATGATGCGGAGGTTGATGGGCGAGACTTAGCTGACCAGGCTTTAGGTGCAGGTATCCCAGACTTCGATTTACAGGAAGGAAACTATAGTAGCTGAGGTTAGCAGGCGGTAGCCGAAGTCGGGGGCCTCTGCTTGCGACCCCAACTTGATCTAAAATGCCTACAGTGCCAAAAAGATGAAACGTAAAGAAGAGAAAAAAATAACCTCTAGAGCGATAATAAACCGGACATGATTAATGAGAAATAGGGTAAGAAAATAAGAAGGGTAATAGCGATAATACGTGTCGAGAAAGCTTCTAGATAATTCAGGGTCAGTACACCCATAGTAGACAGGCTATATACTTACCTTCTGATACTTTTACATCGCGAGGTTGTATGTAGCGTTACAAGAGGCACAACTGCCAGCGCTGTTTTCCCATTATCAAAACGTTTAAAAACATGGAAGATGGCAAAGGCAGTTAAGTTTAATGAAGCTGCATCTGAGAATGATCACGACACTGAAGGCGACGGAGCTGTGCTAACACAGCACAGATGAAGTCCACTCAGCTTCCCACATCCTTTTCGCCCACGAATTGCGCTCACTACCCCGTCGCTGAGTCATAATATTATCAAGTGCTACTCCCGCTCCGTTAAACAAACGACAGTTAAGGCTGTGCAGGAAGTCTGGAAATGTGCAGGAATCGACTCTTGCAACAAGGGGTATATAGGAATGTCTTCGCCGCAGAAGACGAGGACAAGAGGCACCAAGTGAATAGCGAAAACGTTACAGAAGGGACAAGCAGGTGATATAAAAGGAAGGCACTTGGCATCGTTAAAGGAGTCGTCTGCTGGTTCGCTGTTAACTGGCCGACAGACAAAGTGTCGTAATGGTAGCCGTTGTTAATAACGGTATTCTTTTTTTGCTCTGCCTTTTTATGCTACGGCCACTTGTACCCTGCGACTCAGACTGAAAAGTCTAAAAGGCTTAATGGAGTGTGTCTCTTTGTGTATTTAGCTAATCGCTCGGGATACGTGAGAGTGTACAAAATAGTTGTGTCCGAGTCCTGGCCCCAGCTGACTGCACTGCTAAACTATTTTTAATGCGTTAGGCATGTTAAGTTGAAGGGCTTTCCCGGTGGACTGCAAAACTTTCTTAGCACGTTAAGATTTGCAAGCTGACTTCGTTTGTTAAGGGCTGAAACCTAAGAAAAGCTGGGTAGCTGCAGCGGTTAGATAAGTAGAAGTAATGTAGCAAGCAAGGATACAGCACAGGCTGCTATTGAATGAACTTTAGGCAGCACTCAACGAGCCTCATGGAGTGGATCACAGTGAAACGAGAGAAACTTCTTAGAGTCTATGGCGAATTCGTCCAAAAGGCTAGGATACTCAAATAAAGTGGCTTTGGCTTCGGAAAACGACTTAGGCAAGATAACGAAAAAGTCTTTGCGCGTGTCAAGTCGTACAAGTTATACTTTTAACAAGACCGCAGCTCAGAATTGTAACTTAAATCAATAATCCTCGAGCACAGGTATCAAAGTATCAGCAATACGAGCCTTCCATCCTTTGAACTGTTTTATAAAAGAAGTAGATATCGCCAAAGGACAAGGTTTACTCTCTTGATCTTCCCTATGACCTTTTGAGAATATATACTATATGAAACTTAATAGAAGGTTATCACGAATTAAGTGGTTCAGGTAACCAAAACGAAAGAATTGGAACTGATCAGACACATGGCTTCTCAAGCCATGTGTCTGATCAATTTGGCCAAGCGTACCGCAAGTACAAGGAGGTTAGGGCAAGGAGTAGGTCAATCGATCATACATACAGCAACTGTGAAATAATCTGTCCGTTGTCCTATGAATCTTTGTGTGCACAGTAGTTCCAAACGCATGTAAGTAACGAGAGCATATAGATTTGCAAAAGGCCCATAGTCTAATTTATGGTCAGGAATGGGTAAAAAAATGTGAATTAAAAAGCTATGCTTTATAAGTGAACTTGCATGTATGGCAATCGCATAAATTCCTTTAGAAGCCAAATTGAGTTAACTGAATATATTCTAGTAACCAATAAAATGATCCTAATAAATACAGAGTAATATCTACGGATAATGTATTATTAACCAAGAGCGTAAAGAGGAGCCACCACTGCGTAAAACAAAAGGAAAAGGTTACAAAAACGTTGTACTACCTGGAGTAAAGCGCCGGAACGGCTTTAAGCAAAAATATCCATAAAGCGTTAAAACTGCATGTGTGCTTAGCTTCCCGTATAAAAACAAACAAGACGTAGTTGCTCTCATCTGAAATGAGTAAATTACACTGAGGTGGGCTTACCTTGAAGAAACGATGAACCACCGCATGGTATGGAGCTCGACGTTCCATTGGTGTTTCTTATTCTACCTTTACTTCCTGCACTCCTCGAAAGAGCCATGTCACCAGCCCCTCTTTGCAACGGCTGTCGACTTTCGCCAAAAAGCTTCTAGAGACGCTGCAAAAAACAGCAATAATAGTAGCACAAGTGCGAAAACTGTCATACCTATGATTTGGCTGAACGGTTAAATCAGTAACAGAATAAGTCGGCTACGGCTGGCGAAGTATAGCCTTTTTGAGAGGCGCCAAATTATACAGTCCGAAGATACTGTGAAACACAATTGCTTCGTTCTATTACATGCTTGTAGTCATGAGTTGTATTAGTGAATCGGGCAGCGAGGCGGATACAGCGTACCTATCACTATGCCGCTGGTGGCGCCTGCATAAAATTTTTATTAAGCCCGCCTTGTCCCGGCCGACCCGATTAGCACAGGTCTTTGAGCTGCAAAATATACATACACGAGCGGGGCTGCTTATCGTATGGACGGTTTACCATCTAGCGATCAGCTAGCAGAACAGAGCCGCTAGCAAACGGGCGAACCCTTGTTCCATACAAGGGCTACGGCCACGGCAATGGCGGATGTCCGATCTGAAAGTTCTTAAATAATTAGTGCAAAATTTCAGGAATCTCGAGGTAAAGCAGATGCTATAGATAGAATGCACAGACTGCGCGTGGTGAGGCCAGAGACGAGCACTAGACACGCGGGCAGATCGGCGATGCGGAGCCTTCAGATTATATTAGAGACGGCCTGTCCCTCAGAATAGTGAACAGGCCAACATCTATTTTGCCACCAGTGCATGTCCTAGATTTAGCTCAGTAGTAATATCAAGTGGGGTAGGTCTGCTCTGGGTGTATATAAAACACTTGATATACTTACATTTCCTTAACCGACTACTCGCTCAGCTGCCTGCCAAACACACAGCACATCATTACATAATATTCGTAGTTATTTAGCTGTTAGTCATGCCCAACGGTGTCCAGGTTTCCCGATGGAGCCAATAACAATCAGTCTTTGATTAGAAGTGGCCTCCGGACATACGAAGCGCAGGCAATGGGCATTCGCAGCGCCCAGTTTCCCAGCACCCAGGTAAACGCGATGATAACGAGGCCTTCATCGCTGCTGACGTAGCCACTGTTGACCGATGATGGTTGCAGTGTAGATGAGAGTTCATCTGAACGTAAAGCTGTGCAGACGCGTACCACTAGTGATGCTGTGCATTACGACTTGCGTGCTTAGTATCGTTGACCATCTCGAGGATTGGTCGATCAGAGTCCGGGTTGCCAATTCCCGGATTGTGGACAACGCTATAGAGATCAGCAGTGCACTGTACACCTCCTGCGAATGGGGGTCTAGCAGTGAGGTTATAGTCAGGGCAGTTGGCGACGATAATTACAAGAATGAATATTATTTAAAGACAAGGGACTAACCATATAGTACAGAAAGCAGCAGCGGTAACGGTCGCGACATGTGAAAATTATCGTAGCCGGAAGAAGGCAGTTGCAATAAGCGAACGTATTAGCAGCGAGGGCGGACATGGTAACTAGGCGTGAGGGCTAGTGGACGGTGGTTCGCTCTTTACTGACATAATCTATGCTCTCCCTGTGCACTTACGACGACAGATAGCTATACAATGGCCAGAGCTCGATGCCCCTCTCTTTCGCCTCTGGCTAAATCTCATATAGCTATAAACGTGTTGTTCAAATGAAAATCAAGCCTATCTAGTACGATCAAAGGGCGATGACCCCCTACAGAATCGGGGCCGAAACGCTACATTTATACTAGCCTTGACATTATCTATGTTCACAAGATCCGCATTAAATGAAACTGGAAGATCATGCAGAAACAGGAAGTTTGTACAACGTATTTATCTCAAAGATGATTTATGATAACCCGTACATGAATATATGATATGTGGGATTATAATTGTCGCCTCCGGTGTGTAAAATATATTAATTTTAGCACATATATGCGGAGTGAGGTGCCAGAATCTGGACCTTTTCTTACGAGTACTTTCAAAGATCTTATCTAAATAAACGAAGATGTGTCCATAAGGTTTTTGCTTGGACTAAAAGTGACGTCCCTAACGGTTACAATCATTAAGTATAATTACTAAAATTCGCGGCGATTCCTCTTTGAACTAAAGACCTGGCTTACTCGCTAGATAGTTCCAAAGTTGCCCCTCTTTAATTCGAAAATAATGTTTCAGTAGTGATCGCGTGCCAACCGATATCGCAGTTAAGCTCGTTAAAGCGCTTCTAAAATAGGCTACATACGAAAAACTGCAGCGGAATTATACGTTAGGGTGGCAGTAGGCCAAAAATCTTAAAAATTTAGGGGGCCTAAAACGACTATTACATGCGGAAGGTGCAAGAGGACATAGGAAGTCTCAAAAGGGTTAACCGCTGGAACTTACCTGAGCAACGCAATAGGCAGTTGATGTTCACTTTTCTGAAACAACCGTCGATTTCTCAATAAAGAAATCCAGGTGTATTAAAAATGTTTTTTTGAAGATTTTTTAAAACTTCAGTTCTATTAAGGATTTTCTGGTGTGCCTGATGGAAATTTTATTCTTATTTTTTTACAAGCTATATAAAAGCTGCTAATAATGTAAACCGTCGACTTTCGGCAAAAAAAAAAATTACGATTTCGATGAGGATTTGTCCTGCGTGAAAACACTGTATAGTAACTGATATTAGCTCAGCTAGTCGTGTGGTTAACGATGTAGCACTCTTCGCTATGACGAGTTTGGCCTTTCAGTCTAGAAATAATTGGTTTTTCTGTATTATAAAGAGGAGTGATGGAAGACATTCCCGCCACGATGAAAGGTTCGCGTCAAGTTCTGCTTAAAGTTTAATGGCTCGTTCTGTGCATATCATTTTGCTACATCGCATGTAATTGAACGGCTTCTCTGCACGCTTGTTCCCTCGTTAATATTCTTCTCTGGCAAAAACTCCGTGATAGCTAGGTGGTTTGCTTGAGTTTATAACAAGGTATGACTCTTTGTATTATATATATATATATATATATATATATATATATATATATATGTATATATGTTAAATATGAAGGCAACTCTGCGGCATTTTAAGACGATCAAACAATGCTAATTGGTTGGCAGGTAGGCACACCAGGGAGGGCCTTGGTAGAGTTTTGAGCTGCGCTTAGTATAGAAACACAACGAGGCAGTAACGCACTTTTTGAACAATGCAGGTATCAGAACATTTCAACATGAAGCTATTTTGAGGCGCGCGTCATTCGTTCAAATTCTGGTCTCGAAGAGGGGTCTAGATGCCATCTCACCGGGCAGCTTTAGCATTTTCCGCGTTTGCCTCGAACGTAGCGGCAAAAATGGGCCTTTGAGGTTTCAGAATGGTCAGTGGGGCCCTTTTAGGCGTCAGCCGGTCAAAGGGCAAAGCCGGCATGCAAATAGGAGAAGGTCTAGCGCGGCTTATGGTATCCTGTTCATGCTATGCCGTAAAGCTCTCAAGGTTGATACCAGCTGCACGATTCGGTTGAACCTAAAAGAACATTTTGGAAAATAGCCAGCCACTATACGCGGAATAGTGTTAACCCTGAGGTCTTCTAGTGCCGCTACCTTTCTTGCCGCCATTGTTGGCAGCATGCGTAATTGCTTACTTCTTTGTGGTCTATCCATTTCCAGTACCCATGTTAGCTTTGAAGGGAGAGGAGAAGGAATTATCGAACGGCGCCGAATGCATGGCGTGTCGCATCGTAAGAAGCGAAATGCGGCTAGCGGCTAGCGGCTAGCGGCTGCTTAATTAAACCCCTTAGTAAATGTCGAGCTGAGGCAAAGTAACTTCTTCGTCAGCTCGACACCCATGACTAGAAAAAAGCCCATAGGCCTGCTCGTTCCAGTGTGGCAACAGTGTAGATAAACTCAAAACTAGATTAATCCTAAGCGCTTTCAAAAAGTTATTTTACAGTATTGCTTGAAATAACACTTACAGGGATAGTTAACATATCTATTTTGTTTTATGGGATACAATCTAGATTGTCACGCTGTGGCGAAAACTCACATATCAGTATTTTCGCTATCAGTTATCAAACGGGTTCTAAGTACATTCAATTTGTATTTGCTGGTAAGATTTCGCGTTTTGCCTTTGTGCATGAGATGAAAAAAGCCCTTATGCTATTTGAGCGTGCACCTAATTTTTACCGCGGGTTAGTGCGTCGATTAACAATAGCTCTTATGTGGAGGTTACCAAGCAAGCGTTCGTTTAAGTGGTCTGGTTACATAAGTGGACGAAAATCTCCCATTAAATGAAAGAATCCGTGTCGGTGAAACAATAGCATAAAGCTAGATGCGTTTTGCTGCGGATCCCAAAGTCCACTTTCTGTCAGACGAGTTTCTAGCCAGTCATCAGGACAATAGGGGGTTGTTCCATGTTTGTGCATTAGCAATTACTTTCCGATACAATATAAATTTTGTATTGATAAGCACACTAAAGCAAACTACTAATGCATGCAAATAATGTTCCTTTTCGTTCCGTATCGTACCATCTGTGTACAACCTAAGTGTCCGATTGGTCATGTCTAGATGTGCAGGACGTTAGCAAGAATTTGTTACGTAAAATTCGCGTTAACTCCGTAATGCTCGGTATTCGAATGAAGGTCGCCTCTGCGCGAACGCTAAAAACGAATTAGTAATAAAGCGGACCTCTGAATAAAGCAACGTTGCGATTCCGGACACGTAAGTGATCCTTGCTAACAGATATGAATCAGACAACCTATTCTATGTGGATGAGGAAAAGTGACGGTACCTTTGAAGAGTAGCTTTTTTTCGAAATCAACAACTGCGTAAGCTGCCAAAACCAACCATAATCTACATATTTGTACGGTTTATTTCAGGCACTCGTTTACAAACTATGCGCAGCGTACGCTTCTGCACTGTTTAGAGTCTGATTGTCATCAGGTCGAGGTGCCTGGTACGTGCTTTTACAGCCGTTCGACGTTCAGTGTCTCTTGGCCAATCGAGTATGTATCGATTACGTAAAATGAAGGCGTTACACTAATTTGCAACGAATAGCGTATGCTCTATCCGCCTTGTAATGTTTTTGTTTATATGTATTGGAATTACATTTGCGGCTTGACGTCCACAAATGTGCGTATCAACTAGTCATGATTGAAGTTCTATTATACGTTGACGGAACAAATTGGAAGAAATCAACAAGCAAAGTTTCTTTCGAACTCATCTCTGAGTCACTAAAACTCGGATGAAGTTCGATAAGAGGAGATCAGCGGAGGATAACCTTAAACTAATGTTCTAAAACTGAGAATTCTAGCTATTTCTCAGCTGGGACACACAGCGTTGCACGGAACCGCAAAAATGAAGTACAATGTTTCAACGCAAATCCCGTTATCTATAGCTACCGAAGTGTGTACCACCTAAATATCGATTGAGCCCGGCAAAGTTTGTAGACCTATGTAATCTTCCAGTATATACAAATATCATGAAGTTTCTTCTATTCAATAAAACAATTTGAAAAGATACCCTCATAGTGCCCATCTTTCACCAGTATCACCGTCGTCAATAGCATACATATTTTCTATGACGTATCGTTTAATATCGCTATATTGTAGAGAAAGGTTGCACAGATCGTGTGAACGGATACCTGAGACGTCCTTTGTATCTGGTGATTTCCTTTAGCCATCTTATATGTGGCTTCCTCTGACTAAACCGAGAGGGTCATTCCAAACACATAGCTAAATGAAAATACTCAAGCGACTGAAAATCATAATGACGGTAATCAAGCCGCTCAGACCTGTAATTCGTTGTTTCGGAGGGTATCCGATTTTTGGCCCGGGCTGAAAAACATGGAGCACACGTTTATTGGGTTGTAAATTTGGGCGGGAGAGGACCATAAAGGGAATATGCGCTTAACTTATGCAGCCGTAAAACGGTTGTATATGCAAACGACGGCCGCCCGGAGTCGGCAGCCAAATCACCGGGTGCCATCCATCACATGCGTCTACCCAATCGGTCTCCCCTTCATCTCGGAAGACTGAGCAATGCGGAAATAACGCTGGAACGAAATTGCTATGACCACTGTCTGCCACCAACAACGTACAAAAAAGGTTCGTGTTCGTTGACATCGGGAAAGATGTCTCGATTGACGACCAGCCAGCGAGCCAGTCGGCCAAAGGCGAAATACTTGAAATTAGCCGGCTTGGGAGCCAAAGCTCCACTCGTTTCTTTCCGTAGCAATGACACACTCGTACGAAAAGTATTCGCACTACCGTTTGTGGTGCAACAGGTGTTCCCTGCACGACGGCGAAGGTTCTATAGATCCTAGCGACGACCTTGTAACAGAGAAGGGATGATAAAGGCGAGCGCGAAAAAGAACAATGACCTAGCAACGCTTGACAACAGTAGACGAAAAATATATAGCTTCTGTCTAGCTTCCTTCCATCTTTCTTGCAACGGCCTTTTCTTCGTTTTGAAACTTCGTTCACACCTAACGTTTTCATTGGACCGCGAATATAGCGCGCATAAGGACGAACTCGCAATTCGAAGCCGATTGCTTGTGCAATTACTGAGGGATCGCCATACGCGACCTCAGATGTTGGTCATAATGCAAAACAATGTAAAGCGGTGCATACTTTTCAATTAGTGATAATACTACTAATACTCACCGATTCGAAAGGGATGATGAGAATCTTCATTTTCTAACATACAAAATATTAGCTATCTTGAAAAAAGAACAACGCCAAAAAAAACAACGCGCATCAACCAATGTAGCCGCTATTTGTTCCAAATAATATCTGAGCCTTCAATTAGAAGGTGCCTGCTCGCATAGAGAGACGTCCTTCAATGCCAAAGTTGATTCATCAACATCGGCCTGCTTTAGTTCATTTTAAAATAACTCCTGCAGTATTTTAAAAAAGGCCCGCAGTGCCTGGAGCGAATTTCAAACGTCTACGTACGTAATTCACTATCAATCTCCCCCGTCCGCTGGTATCTTATTAATATGCATACTATGCCGAAAGATTATGCTCGGAACACGTAACGTATTAAGTGGAAATTTTTTCTAAGCGGTACCTTGATTTATTTAGACATTTTGCCCAAGGCAACGAATTTTTATACGATACAACAAATGATACGTAACACTCAACAAAGGTCTTTATAAATGTAATGTTTACGTTTACTTACAATGCGTGTTCGTCAAGATAGACGGTTTAAAGTTAAGACCCTTACAATTGTTGCAATCAGTAGTCGATTTGGGTTCTGCTCAAAAAGGATTATTCCGGTCTGACACAGTTAAGACTTGTCATCAAAATACAGTAAAATGAATGTATTTCAATGGAAATTAAGGAAGCTACTTGGCATATGTGGTATAAAAGGGCGTAGGATTGAATATCGCATAAGCAATCGCAGCGAAAAGAACTTCCGTGTACATGCTTATTTCAGTCCTTTTTGCCCTTATGGTCATAGTGATGGTAAGCTCACTATACGTCATTTACTACCATAAAAATTCTCAAATTTGTCTGTCAGATTCAAATGTACTTCTTACCAATTACTGTCATTATTAAACGGGTGTTTATTACGATATAGAAGATACATTCTGTTTAAACCGGCTGTCTGAAGATATTAATTCAACTGAATCGCTCTACACAGATTGGAAGGCATAACCCTCACTCAGAAATCTATTTAATAAAGAGCCAAGCGAAATGGGCCTTAATATAGCTTGGGCAGACGAAAGCGGACCCATTTTAGATATCTCGAGGATGTTAATTCTAAGCTAGAGCGCCTAGAGACAGCTGTGATGTCATAAAGGAATGTGAATGCCTTTTCGGGTTTAGGATGTCGGCTTATAATATGCTTATAATTCTGCAATGCACCTGAAGATAAGCTTCAGGTCGACGTTGACGCCTTAGCCGTGAGAAACGATAAGATTTTATGATAGAAAAGTTCACTTTATTGCCTTGCTCAATGTGAAGTTCCATGTTATAAAGCAATTTTCTAAACGAAGCAGAACAACGTCAACTAGTTGTGGTGTAGATATGCGCCGTTAACGAGACAAAAATACAATTATTTACATGTAAAAAGGATAGACTTGCTTACCATGACTTGAGGGGATATAGTTCGATTATTTGGTCCAAACTTTAAATGTAAGTTTCACCTTTTCCGGTTGGCCCAGAGCGCAAACACTCACTTCTTGGGTGAGGCGATAGGATTATTCACGCCTTCAATCATTTTTCATACAGACGCAACACGTATGTTCGGATAACGTCAGTGGACCCTACAACCGAATATAAAGTACTTCTATAGGGCCAACATGGTCGTGAAGTCGACTAAACAAGCGATGTTGCCCCATATCACGGCTATAGTATCCTCAAGTACATCGTCCTATTTACGTTGCTTCTTAGCACACTAGCAGTCAACCACTTGTTAAAGGATTTCAGATGCGGATCGGCATATTTTTTTTATTTGATATTTATTAATTGAGCAGTATCAGATTCGTTATGGAGGCCAACTGTCTTGGAAAGCCTCAAGAGGTGTGGGAAAAATAATTACTAACATCGTTCTCGATCTATCCCCGAAATCGATTCATTCAACAGATCAATTATATAAGCTTCGAACTCTTAAATCTCGCGTCTTTCATAATAGCAAATAGTGATCATCTCTATTCTAGTCAATTTCCTGGTTAAGGTCAACTCAACACAAAAAAAAGGCCTCAAAAAACATAGCTTTGCTCGTGAATCCTTTCTAAAACAAATATTTATGGAACTAAGTTTCCAATTCCTCATAGAGCGTCGACATACCGGACAGCAGTTAGACAGCTCACAGTATTAAATTTATAATCCTTTTGAAAAAAACGATGATGATCCGTTAGGGAAAAAATGGCTGGGAATTAGTGACAATGTCCTATGCAAGGCTGGCCGTATTTTGCTGTGAGTAGAATTACGCTAGTGGGCTAGATATGGTCAATTCAGAAAACTGCATAAATGTTCAGAAATTCAGAAGCAATGCTCTGCTAACGAAACGATCGGTTAGTACTTGAGCGGAGATTGCGAAAACGAACACAATGGAAAAAAAAACAATACGCACCACCGGAAGCTGAATATACAAGCTACGTCAGTCTCCCTTTTAATTCGAAAGTGGGCTCCCAAAATGAATGTCTGGCAAATATATCAGCTCCTTATCGTCTCCTAATTATGTCCGATATTTTTCTCAGGTTGTTTACAAAAGAAGGTGGTTATCGAGCCATGTATGAGAACAGTTTGGTAGTTTGAATGCATTGAATGTCAGTCGTGTAGACCCAGATTTTGAAAATTACACGGACAGAGAGGAAGCTCTGCGGCTTTAGCGGCACTCAGTCAGTTTTTTCACGAAATGGGAATTACTGATGAGGACGGAAGCCTCGTCCTAAATTCCAACTGCAAAACGCGATAATAAGTCTACACTCGAATTTCTGTACAGAAAATAGTAAGTTTCAATGGTGTTTTTCGATAGAATATATTCTGGGGTTCCGTTTCGGCTCCACAGCTTACCTAGAAATCGACGCACAAACCGATAAATGCACATTGGATATGGTTATTTTTTGCCCAGATGTTTGCTTTCAATACCAGACGGGGTTACGGGCACCATGCTAGGCCCGGGACCACTCCCTGCTCCAGCTACCTCAAGCTTTGATTATCTAAACCTATATAGAGACCATCCTATTCGTTTCTGAGTTATTTCAGAAACTATTTCAATAGAGAATCATTGATTAAATACCGGAATAACATAGGAAAGCTTAATAAATTCAAGTAAAACAAAAGAAAACTGCTGCGATGTATAACAGCACTGGAAAACATCAATCCGTCACATTTACCTGATAAACTTGTGGACATACCAGTCTCCATTGTTACTGAAAAAATTTAACTTCTGCGAACTTACGCTGAGGCATAGGACTACGCAGCTGTTTTGTTAAACGTTTTACTATACTACGACAATGTTTCAGATACACAACGTTGTAAACAGTATGGTAAAGCAGATTCAATAGAATTGTCTGTTTTTAAATGAAATTTTTTTTGCGGCCCATTAACGATAAGTAATTTCTTACGTATTAAATTGTACCTATAATTGTGAAGTGTTAAAATTCGTTATTAAAAATCAAATTTTTTTTATTCTGGAAAATACGATGATATTTGCTAAACTGAATCGTTTGAATAAGCGGCTAATTAATTAGTAAAAAGTACGCGGACGTTATTTACAAAAATCCTCGTGAAGCGGAACGTTCATTATCCATCCGCATAATATTTAATTCATGTTTCATCATTTGCTGGGGTTTCATCACACCGCCATGTTGGCGACGTCTGGGACAAAATATGACAACTATATTTTCTAATCCGTTAGTTTCGTAAACCCAGCCCATCAATTGACATCGGTAATCCAGCCAGAAAACAAATAATTTTATCCATGTCCTTCTCACATCGATTTACAGAAGGAACGATCTGGCATTTCTTTGTTTTGCACAACAAATTCACCATCAGTGCGTGTATCACCAATGAGCACCGTTCTCATTCTTACTCTCTTCCTCTTTCACTCGTATATATGTTTTACGTTACATTTCTACCCTATGTACCCTGATGTAACCAGGCACCAATGTACTGAATACACAACGACATTGTTATTTAGCATAAAGTGATCAAACATACCCTTTGTTTTGGTTATTACTAATATAAACGTTGGAGGTTTTCAAGGCGCGACATACGTAACCAGACAAACGTAACTATAGCAACAACGCCGGCGACTTGGAATCGTGATTTGATCAATTCAAATCCTGTAAGGCATATACAAGCTGATGCGGTGTTGCACTTGTAGGTTCGGTATTCAATATGCTACTGTTAATAAAAGCGGGGTGAATGTTGCAGTTTTTATCTTTTCCTCCTAGGAAAGGAAGTTTTCCTCCTATGAGTTATTTATTCAATAGAACGCCAATGGGATAGGTGCTCACAGATGCCGAAGAAAAGTTAGAGAGGACGCTTAAAACTATAAAAAGGTTAGAGGAACGTCATAGACGTGTAAAGCATATATGAATGGACCACAGATTAGCGTATTAGTATACAGTAACGTACACCGAATATACGCATACCTTATACTTTCAGCGAATGATGTACTACTAGCAGACAGAATTTTATATTTACACGAAGTGTTTGGCTACCTATCAGTTTAGGTGGATTGGGGGATCATCAGAGAACAACGAGCTTATGCGTAGAGCTATTATTTAGCGCTTAAGATTAACGCCTCGTGAATAGATTATTGTTTTTTGGAAGTACTGTTAAAGTTCATGGAAAACTATCGAGCAAGCAGACCTTCAGCTACTTGATTACTGCTGCAATCAAGTTACAGGATTCAAGGCTGCGGAGATAATGACTTAATCTCAACACTTCAAACAGAAAAACAAGCAACTAGGACCGCGGAGGCTTCCTGAACATGAGGATGCCGTCCTCAAGACTTGCTTTTGCCAGCTCATGATATCTGTAGAGTGCACCATATACGTTTTTATCAGTTCGCTTAAGTTTTGTCTTAGTTAAGTCGTGAACAGTCCTTTTCATCGTCTTGAGCCGACAGAGAGCACATTATTCCCGCTTCGTTCCGTTTGTAATCGTAGATAGCCATTTCACTTAATACAAATATGTGCAAAATTTCTCCTGCTAGTCGTACATAGATTGTTCAAGATGTCTGCTTTGTTAAGCAGCTGTAAAGGCAGCTGCAAGCCTGACGATCACATAAATGTCTATAGGAAGGTTATTCTACAGGCTGAGGAGAGCTTTGACACATTACCTGTATCAACGATGACTTATCGAGTTAGCTTACATCAGAAAGAACTCTTGCCAGTAAACAAAACATTTAAATGAACCAAACATATTCATGTAATTTATTAACGAAAAGCTACCTCGGTAAAAACCTATTTTGGCTGCTAAAAGCGCTGTTGAAGCCATAAAATGCTAATAGCAAGCCGTGACCTATGTAAACAACAAACAGCGTGGGCCAGGGAACTTGTGAGCAATAAGTACAACTTCTTGAGTCATGATCTACCCTTAAATCAAACAGTGTCAGCCAGAACAAGTAATACTTCTCCTACCGATCCATTCCTATTCGATCTATATCGATTTTAGCACAAACTCAGTGAAATGGTACGATATTTGCTGCCGCCGTATCCGTCGCCACGACGGTATCACATCCTGCGACGAGCGTACGTGAAACGAATGTTCTACCCCCCGCCTATTTCGCCTGTGTTTTGGGTGTGGTCGTATTCTTAGGCACGCCTAGAATGTGAGACACGTACGCTAGTACTTCCACTGCCTACCACCTGTTTTAGGCGATACGCACTGCCTTTGTATCCGTTCCGTGATAATTCGACCCATTACCAAGTGCCTCGTTTGTGCTGTCGCCGAATCTTTCGCTAAACCTTTATTATAGTAATGGTAGATTCTTTTTCTTCTTTCCAGCTCAGCCATAGCATGTAGTGGTTATTTGTGATCCGTCGTGGTTTTTTCCTTTCCTCGTGATCGGCTAACCAACCACTGCTAGTTCTCTCCAACATCACTTCACCAAGCGTTTACACGGTCTTCCGTTTCATCTCTGTACTTGTCTTCATTGTGGTCGTTTTATACTTTGCCTACCCTCGGTGTCCGTCTTTCATTTTCCCTCGTATCCGTCGTATTCAGATGAAAACATATGTGGGGCTTCCCGCTCGCCAACTTGCTTCACTCCTGCCACCAGTTTTTCTACGCATCGATGTAGTACCGACTGTAGTTAGCCGGGTGCACAACAGACATGGCGCGAGCGTAAGCGTCGACTAACCGGTCCGCGTACGCATGCAGCGTTTTGTCGACCACCGATGACGAGTTGATCGTGCAGCTGTCCCCGCCGAACTCGCAGATCTGTACAAAGAGAGATACGAGGTAAGCTTGGTATGAGAAAAACGTCAAACGAGGACGCGCGAAACAAAGTGAACAAAAAAGAAGAACTGGCTGTTAAAGCTGAAAGGTTGACTCAAGCTAGGTCAAGACGGATTAACTTGGGGTTGCGATAGGTGAAGGCTTAGGTGGAACTGGTCAGAGACCATTATGGACAGCGATCACCAAAATGGATTAATTACAGCAGCTGAGTTCCACTCAGGCCGTGTGGGTGGCTGAGGCGTTAGGATGGCAGACTAAGCACACGACTGTCGCACACACAGCTTTCGCAGTAACAAAAGAAATAGATTTCAGTAAAGGATGAAGGGAAAAGCATAACCCAAAATAGAGGGCCAAATTGGGTAAACGTGGGGAAAAGGTATCTATCTATGTAGAATAAAGCTATCAAACAGCGCTTGAGAAGCAGATCTTCTTGCAGACCACTAGAGAAGGAAACCACCACTGGTAATCATTGCCACTTCTTAATGTTAATAGTGACGCCGGTGTTTCATGTATCCCAAAACCATCTAACATTCTGTTCTACATGTGGACTTTGCTAGACCACCGAACTATAATTGGCAAAAGCCTGTTCGGCCCAACCTCGCTATCACTAGTTTGCATATGAAGCAGGCCGGAGCGGAGCGACACAAAAGAACAAAAAAGAAAACAAAAAATCCGAGCCGTCTTAAACCATCATATCACCTCTTTCTCCAGCCCTTTCTTCCAGGGATATCAACGTTTGCAGTTTCTGCCTATTCGAATGCCGGTTACAGTCGCTGACGCGGCCGGAAGGTCATCACGAAAATGTGAAGAAGGCGTTTATCCACGTTGTTAACGATGTAGGGCAGGTGACTAAAGGATTCCGCGCTACCTACCTACCTACAGCCGGTGTTTACGAAAAAAAATACAGGCGTAAACACACACCTACATATTGATACACTCTCTGCGTCCATCATTAACATTGACCAAACTAAATTTGGCATCGAAGTTGTTAGTTTGGAGTCTTGGCTGACTTATATCTAAACACGCGGATGATGTATATATATGTGTGTGTGTATGTGTACAAATAGTTATTGAAGTTCTTGTAGGCTATACAAACGAAATGAATTTCTGGCATACTCGTTCTCAAAGCTATGCAGCGGTCTCCATTAGATCGTATTATATATAATTTAAGATTACCGTTGTAGAACCTCAGTAGAAACAGATATGTGCTCAATCACAGTACAGGATGCATGTACTACTTATCGTAGGGCAATTTTAGTAGGACAAGGTTACCAACTTGAACGTACTCGATAATGGTGAAGAAAGCCGGCGTTGGGATTCACGTTGAACATGTGGAAGTTTGGCATAAATTCCCAAACGAAATGATTGCCTGAATTAGAAAACAAATGTTAATGTTTCGTTAAACTTCAGCTATTGGATTCTTGAACTTTAATAAAGCCCAATGACGTTCTCAATACACAGTTGCTGTCATCTTTACAAAGTTGAAAAAGCCTGGCCATCACTATCTGTGGCGATTATGTATTGTTTTTCTATTCTAGAAATTTTTTTTTGCAGGACACCGAAATCATTGAGCTTTTTTTCTTAAACCATAGCGCCTAATATGGACACATTGCTATCTAGGAAATATGGTTCCTATATGGAAATATGGCTGAACATACGTTCAGCTATTATATCTTACGATACGATTACTTAAGTTTAACCTGAAGGAGTGGTCCCTCTTGTGGAAAATCTTCTTAATTTTTCAGCATCTACACATAATTAATACTCTCTCACTTATGCGTTTGAACCATAACGGTGATGTGCAAGAGACGACCACGTTATCCGTTTTGAGAAATGGCCCCGTTCTTTCCTTGGCAGTGGATATCAGTGCCATCGGTAACGAAAAGTCACTCTCAGGCGCCATGCGTGATAACGTAAACGAAGATCAAGATAGGGTAGAAGCACGCAACGTAACGTCGTGGGTTATGATTAGTTAACCATAATGATTGGTTACAGAGCGCTCGACGTGATGTATTGGTCTTATACGAAAATACCCCTATCCTATAGCGGCATTTTATCTTGAAATGGTCATGCACGCAGAATATATTGACGATACGCATTCGCGGCGCGTTGTGATTTATACATCAACAATGGCACAATGGAAAGTTGCGCTAGTCATTGGCCTCGTTTCGAAGACACTCAGTAACGTTACGTCACGGGCGCAAGAAGCAAGTTATATATGTCATTGATACTCGACGAAAGCATGGACGTCTTCCGGAAACGGTTATAGCATACGAAAGCGATCTTCCGGTGGACGGAATTGTTTTTCTGCACGACACACAGATATGCGTAGTTTTTCCCAAGGAGCTACACCTTAAGTACAATGGGAAGCAGCGAGAGTGACCAGTCGAGCTTTCTATATATTAAGGCAAAGCTTATCGATTTTATTGGTCAGATTGTTATTCTTGCTACGTAAAAGCAGATATTAGGAGTTTCCTGTCTATAATCACTGAGTTGCTCCAACCGAGTCTGTTATTTTTTGAAACTGCAAAAAGTCAAGTGCAAAAATTTGGTGCTAGATAGGGTAATGAATTTTTGTCCTTTCTTCCCCGCACACCATCTCATAAAGACGGTGAGCAATAGACTGGTAACTGAAAAAATGACATCAGCATCTATCGAACAAACTTTCACGACATGTACTATTTTACAGAGTAACAGTATGACGTGTGAGCAGATTGCCGGAAATAATTTAAAAGAAATATATAGCCCTTTTTTAACTTCGAACTAACAGCAGTTTTACTACTATTAATTCAAGCCAGATTATATTATGTCGCTGTATGTGTGTACGGTGATGGGAAGTCTAAATAGTGACCGGGACCGTTATCCATATGCAAGATCATATCAGAAGCTCCAAGCTGAGCTCCAAACCCAGGAGACCTACACTTGTTTGTTGAGGTATCAACTCTACGAAAGAAAACGACGCCATGCTGAAACCCACGCAGCCCGAACCGGTAACGCACTGCTACTGGCAACCTTTCTTCCTCAGACAGCCAAGGTAATAATTCAAAATACAGCCATTAGCAACTTTAATACCGCTAAAATATTCAAGTGTATACATACTTATTAGGAATACGACTACTTTCCGCTTCTTCCTCATAAGCCCTATTGATTACGATCAATGAGCGGGACTAGCTGATCCAGATGATGCCCATAGCGTTCAAACACGAAAACGGGTGTATTCGATTTACAGACTAGAAGCTGAACAGTGGTTGTCGAGGCCTCAAAGAATGAGAAATGGAGAAAGAAAGAAAGATCGATGGGGAGACACACAGAATTGGGATGCTAAATTAGCATTCTGCTGACTAAGTCTGTAGCCAGCTAACCTACTACACGCTTTGCTGCCGCACCAGACACATCAATTTAGTTCCCCTGCTGTTCATAAAAGCCGTAAGTCTTCCGAAGAAGCAAGAACTTCCGGGAGTATAAAATGCCGATAATGCGACGCAAGAGCGCCGCTCTCAAAATGGAAAAATTTATTAGCTCATTATGGGTTAATAAAAAAGCTTCTTAACGGGATCTTATGTTTGTTCTTTTGGTAAGGAAGCACAAGTTGTGGAAGGCTGTAAAGTCAGCCCTCATAGTCGATTATACTTATATTCACTCTGTATTATTTATTCTGCATCTCAGAGAAATACAAGCTGGAGCAATTTCAAGAGGTGGTTTCGAAGATCTATTAAGTAAAAGCGTTTCCTGCATAACGAGAGAGAGAAAGCTAGATTTTTTTAGTTGATTATAGACTTATTATTATATTATAGATAAGCTTTCATGATGACCTATCGTCCTTGCCTCTAAGTGGAAGTAGCACGCAGGCGCAGTCAGATGATTTCCTCTGCGAAATAAGCGCATATATTAAGCGTGTACCACTCCAAACAGATACATTGGCAAAAAATTCACGAATTATATATCACTTAGGTAATATTATTGCTAACATGGCCGAGAGCTTCACAGGAACAGATTTTCTTTTTACATGGCGAACATGACGTACTCGTTATACACCGATAAATGGGTTGCTTCAACTACAATTTTGATAGGACACAAATTTACCTATCTTTCTAAATAGGACCAAATATTATAATAAATAATTTTTTTTTTTAATTTAAAATATAAAAACAACGTTCAGTATTATCACTGAGTGCAAAGTATCTACTTATCGACACCAATTTAACATATGGAAGATATCAGGAGAATGACGAAGAGACATGCTTGGAGTTATATACTATTAAACATATGTACGTGGTACTACTTATATGAGGCAGTCACCGAATTATCCATCGATGATGTAATAAGACAGAGGAGATATACTGATGACAAAATGCACCTTAAAACTAGATCAGAAAATCATCGCAATATAATTGCGTAAAATAATTGTAAATTATAAAATAAACGTACTATAGAAAAACTGTATTATATATCTTTATGGTATCTTTATGGTATATATACCAAATGTATATATACCATAAAGATACTATTGATTCAGAATATTATCACAGTACTTACTAGTATTATTGATTCACAGTAGTAACTGCTTTAAAGTATCTGACGGCGTCTTACAGTAACACTTATTTTAAAATACTGCTAGAAAATTGGCTTGATAATGAAGCACAACGTTCATTTATAAGGTTTTTTAGCAAAATTAGCTTGAAATAGACAGCTTAGATAACGCTGTAAAGCAGGTTGGACGCAATGATCACTGCCCCTGACCCGTTGCGACGCTTTGCATGTCGAGTAAATGGATCGTATACAATTGTACGATACGATAAACGCCATCAGGATACGAATCGTGTGTAGTTATCGTAAGTAGAACTTCCGGATTTATTTTTCGTTATCGAAATTAATGGAAACGTCTTATCCGCAGTTATTAGTCTATTTTACGTTACGTCCACCATCGATGTAGTAATAAACAGCCGTAACCTTTGTGGCATAAGAATGTACACCAATCTATTAGTCAAAGGGCATTTATATGTATCTTTCGTTGTACAATTTTGGAGCTATGAGATGTCCTATTAGGAACTCAGATGCCGGCTTTTACCAATGGTTGGATGCCGTTTAGTAGTGCTTTCTTGTTATTATTTGGTATCCTTTTCCAATATCGCACAGTCATAAAGCGAGAATAGCTTTTTTTCTTTATACAGTTAAGGAGTTACTGTTTTTCTTTGCAAATGCCACGCATGTAGTTGTTGTCCCTAGTTTCAATTTGAATACTTAGCATTATCAAAAGCCGTCGTCACGGCCTCTGTCCGTAACATGTTGGTTATTATGAGAACCTAGAACAGGGCTGATTACGAAACTCAGGAGTGGTGATTTATTCATACGTGATGATTGCTCACACTGCTACAGCATACGTACTACATACTATGTATTTACTGTTTTAAGTCTTGCCTCGTCGTTCTTGGAACCATATCAAAAAGTACAACACGCATCGGGCTTTGCTGTCCCTGTTCCAGAAATGACAGTAAAAGCAAAGCTAGAAGTGCAGGTAAGCTCTCGACCAATTTAGCCAATCATCTCCACCGTATGAGGCCCTACACGGCCTAGACACGTACGGCATCTCTTATCCATAATTCACATATAGAAATACATCCTAAAAACGTCTTTATGCGGCTCAGGGCACCTGTGAAAGAGATTTATGTGCTACTATCAATTCATCTTTTATGCTGTTCGTTTTTTAAGGGGACTTCGTGTTACTTTTCTTGTTTTTTTTACTCTGCAGGATCGCCGATTTCTTCTTCATGGCTTACACTCATGCTTTTTTTGGGGCCTCGATTAAGCGACTGCTAGAGAACGACTGGGAAACGCCTTTCGCCGACAGATCTCTCTAATATTGTTCTTGCCGACGTTATTATGATGCGCGACATGCTAGAGAGAACCACAGGTCGCAACTGCCGGAAGCGAGATGGAAGAGGGCAGCGTTATCATATCACGATAAATACTTCCGAACTAAACGACGTCTAACAGCCGCAGTAAAATAGCAGCAGTCGCTAGAATACAATAACAACAACAAGCTACTTGTTACCAACACCAACAGCAGCAGCAGCGAAAGGCAGCTTGGAGCTTCAGCGGGCTCCAGCAAATGTCCAGCCTCCAAAACCACCCGTCGGCGACAGAAAAGATCACAGTTTGGCCCATCGGGCGGCACTGTCAAGACCAAAGGGTCGATGCGAAGATAGCCGCGTGTTGTAACAGGGGCACGATTGACGAACGGGACAGCGGAACGATGAGCGGCAGGATGGAACCTGGTAGGGCGCTATTGCAATGGTCCTCGGTCCAAGGACGCTGCCCCGAACGAATCGCCGAGTGCGTCGATCAGAAGCAATTACCGCCGACGTTTTTGGCCTCTGGTCGTTTCATGTAAACAAAGGAATGGTCTTTGACGGCGCCGATGCCCGCCTTGTACACTACTTTGGGTCGACTAGCCCTCTTGTAGCGCGCCGCGCCGCGCCACGCCACCCTTTCTATGCATGGCTTTCAATGCTTTGACGGGTAATCTTGCTTAATTCGTTCTTCCAATACAGGAACACGCCCTTTTCCGGCATTCGTCTGCATGGGGCAATGGCAAGGGAAGAACACGGGCATTCAGAAAAGTTGAACTGGCTAGCAGTATGCGAGAACACCAGATGCTTTCATGGAGGCTCTAGTTAGTGTTCAGTACTCAGTTGAAGTTCTTGAAGCTTCCGGCTACTTGCATAAAAGCAAGGCGCGTACCGCAGTGACTGATGGTACGCGTTCTGCTACGGTGTCCATGAGTGGTGACAGCAAAGAGCACGTTAAGCATGGCACAGCAGGAAAGTCTGCTAAAGGGAAGCGGTTTCAGGCCATAACAATAATAATAATAGCAACAAACTGAGTAACTCTCCATTTATACAACTTCGTAAATGTCTCTGTCGTTAACGAGCCATTAAGCAATCATTTCTGGTTTCCGTCAATAAAAGACCCGACTGTGCAAACCATCACGTAAAATACCAATAATGTTGCTTTTTGGTAACTTTTTTTAGTCTTTTCTCGGAGTAAAACTTTTGCAAGGTTTGTTTTCGGCGTTAACGTCCAACTAATTAGTCGAACTGAAAAGTCAACTTTTCATTCATTCTATGGATGAAGGTGATGTATCGAATAAAAATGTAATAACTGTGAATTTACGCTTTTTGTTTGCATTGTTTTTAATTTTGCACCTACCGACTTCTTGCACTCGTTCTGGCACGACGATATACTTCGAACGTAAACGATGGTTGTGCAACTTGCCTTTCCGTCTAGTCTTTCGCAGATACAATAGCTCCTTGGCCGGATCAGGAAAAGGCACCTGCAGCCGGAAATTATCGTATCCGTGACATATCGAGAGGACAGGGTTAGAAAAAACTAGATACACAATTGTAAATTAACGTAACGAGTTTCTATGTCAGGCCGCTCACCAAAGTGAAGCAAACATATGATGATAGCAGAGCGCTGAGTAATACCCATCGCCGCAATAAAAGCAACCGATACGTCTAGCACCAATGCACGGGGGCATCACTTTTGTGTATGATCATACGAGCGTGGCCAATGACTGGCCAAAGTCATCCATCATGCCGGCGAGGTAATAGCCGAAATGTCCGAGAACGTCAACGCAAGGGCCGTAAAGAGTCGCTAGGAACAATAGGTGACCAGAGAAGCTGACACTAACGAAAAACAAAAGAGGTAACGAGATGCAAAGAACTAAAACAAAAAACGAATGAACACATATCCCTCCAGGGTCTCTTAGGTCTCAGCAGGTTTTGCCCAAGTATCACTGGGCCGTATTTTTTGATAAGGCTTTCATTCCTCTTCTAGGAGAATAACGAAAAAACAAACAATAATTGTTTTGCCCTGTTTGCTATTTTGTCTCGGTGTAGCAAAAATGATTAAAGGAAATCTCATAATTCTCACCTAACTGCTTTCTTATCACCGATATAGGTTGGACAGGAGTAAGATATATGTCCGTGTTAAAGAATTTTCAATGGCAGCCGTCTGCGAAATAGAGCCCGAACAGCTGAAGCAACTTGCTTGCGTTGTCAATGATAACTTTCCTCGAGATGTGTTCTGCTGCCCTTAATAACTAATTGCTTCACCTATGGCGGGTACCTGCTACATCGAAGATGCCCAATACGAATCTCTCAAGCAAGTAAGAACTCTATTCTAATTTCTGGTAGTGTAAGATAGAAAACGACGGCAGGTCTAGATATGGCGATGGCAAGATAATCTGATGTGCTCATTATAAACCTATTTCGAAGGTTAAGGGTTTACACAGGAGGGGCAGAGCGAATGGACGCTACGTGACATCGCCAGCGTTTCGGCGTTTGCGGCGAAAATCAAAACGAGATAGACCCAACCTTATGTTGCCGATCGATTCAACGAATTGCTATCGATTTCAGTCAGAGCGTAGAGTGGCCTACATAGAGCCGGTACAGGTCCATCAAATTACGTACAGAAAGCGCCTACAAAACCGAATGAAGGTACGTGAAATGATGACAGCGCCGCTAGCGGATATCGGAGAAAAGGGGCACAGTAGCGATTGATAGATAGATAAAACTAGATGCGAACTCTCTACTTACCTCCTCATCAGGGTATTGGAGATAAAAGAAGGCATTTTGAAATGAAAACGCCCCATGCCGCATCGGATTTGCCCTACGCAGCACTGTCAAAAGTTCCTGAAAGACGCAGACAGGAAAAGACATGGATGCATTAGAAATCCGATGCGCGATAGCCCCAAGTAAAGGGACGACGGCGGGAGGGGCAGCAAGCTCACTACCGAAAACCTCAAGCGTTTGACACTTCGTTGAGACGAAAGCAATGAGCTCTCGCAGCTTTCCAGTGTTATCGTGTGCGTTACGCTTTTGGAAAAATGACACATGTTTCCACGAGCGCTCATCGCTGTCGTCCAGTGGTGTGCCACTTCATCGTATGGTGCTGTTAGACCCAATTAAGGCAACGACACTCAACGTGGCTTGTCAAGGGGATGATATAGCCAATTAGGCGCGCTGGCTGCCCACGTATCGTAAAGACTTCGATCTGTGTTTATTTAAATGCAGAACACACGATATCTAATGAAGCACGATTATAATTTGCGTTTTCCGACCAAAAACTGTAGGTTTGGCATGGCTGCTTAAAGCGTCGGTGCAGCAAAGTAACGATGTGACGGCAAAATCGATCTTCAGCGATGGCCTAACCTCTGTACATTTCTAAATGCAGTGTTTGGATACGAGCTATTATTATTGAAATGGAACTTGCATGTGTTGAGCAAGCATCACCTGAACAAAAGACTTACGAAAAAAAAAAAAGGTTCCAATAGAGCCAATTCGTATGAAATCCACATCAAGCTGTGCCTCTATTTGCCCTGTTTAAATGAGTTCCATAGGTGATATCCTATTGAGCAAATTTTCAGCGATATTAAGGCTATTTTTCAGTATTAGAAAAGTTATTATTATTAAAAAAAATATTACTAAAACTTATTAACATTATTATAATTTATTAACTTATATATTGTATCGTGATATGTGAGGCTCTGACCCGCTGACATATTTATTCGTCAAAAAGTCGCAAAAAAAGTATCATAATAGTTGTGATATTTGAAAAAAGGAAACATTTTTAAGAAACGGTCTATATAT